GCCCCAAATCTGCGACCGAGCACTCTATGGTACCGTCGTCGAAGTGCCAGGCTCGGCGAGTATTGGTGGCTCCAGCGAAATCGACGGCACCCAGCGGCTCAAACAGAAAACTGTGGGGCAGGTTCGCTCGCCAGCCTCCTCGAGCGAATCACATATCCACAGTGCCTGGCGGCCTAAAGAGAAAGCTGTGAAAGTAGGTCTGTAGGCGCGTGATGAAAATCACAAATACAGGAGGCTATGATAGTACAAAAGACAGTAGGCAAACACAAGCCACCGGAATATCCGTGATTCGAACGCCGCGTGTCCAGGTTTCTCCTTGAACTCAATTGCCCTGCGACATTCGAAGCACAAACCTCGCGGTGACTCGCGTTGGAATCTGCAGACTGTCTTTTGTAAAAAAAAAAATTGGGTTGTGTGTGTGTTTATACAGCCTAGAACTTGGTCTGCCTCACAGGGGCGACGAGTCTCCCAGCTGTAGATGAGAAATTTAGCCAGTGCGGTACAGCCGCTAGCCTGGGGTCTTTAACGTGCATCACGCAGTAGTGATACACGACCGCACGCCGGTACGATGCTCAACTGTCTTTTGTAAGATGTATAAGCAGTGTGCCTCCGGCTTAAGGGTTTATAATTTGCATACTCAATGACAAAGCATTTCAAAAGCCGATAAGTATTTGACACAATCGCAAAAACAGCCTCCTGGAGGAAGGTTCAACCCAATGTGATATTGGTTCTTCCCAAAGAAGCTAAATATTATATCAAATGTAGACTACAGAAGTTCTATAGAAGCATGCCGACGGAGAGACTATTGTGAGGTGGTGCGAGAATTTCTATAGCATTTCTAGCGGCTCTACTCTATATATTACAATATACTTATTTATATTTTTATTTCTTACACCATGAAGGCCGAAGCATTACAAAGGAGGCGGGGATTTGGGAATAAAAACATATTTAAAAGTTGTTGCATGAGCTCAAACCAGCTCAAAACAGAAATAATATTTAGCTAGTACCACCTTAAACCTAAAAATATCATTGATTGTCTCTCTAGAAGTGGGAAGCTGGTTCCTATCACAAGAGCTTTCGATAATTAAAGAACTGCAGAAAGAGGTAGTGTTACACATGGATGTTTTAACTTAGTAGTTATGGTCGAGGCGTGAAGTACTGTAGATGGGATCTATTAATTAGTCAAGCCTGTAGCCTGTAATTACTGTCGCAGATTTTACGAAAGAGACATAGAGGACAAATTATACGCCGGAAGGAAAATAGGAGTAGTGAGAGACTACATTTGATTGACGGGACACATGACGTACAATAGTACTTAGAGAGTCTGACAATCACTGGCCGGTGTGGCACGGCTTCAAGAGCTGATATATAAATTCCCTGTACCAGTATCGCAGGCTCAGCGTGCATATTCAAGTTCACTTCGTTCTAAAGGAAGTCTGTGGAAACTCTATGGAAAACTCAATGCAACAAGACTAAGTAGAAAGTTGAAAAAGGTATTAATATATAAATCAAATTTTTATGGACCACCTGGAATCTTTTTGGAAAGGTAACATTTCACGGTGAGAATAGGCTATTGTTTACCGATGTCGCCTTAATCTGTCCGGCTCGCTAAAGCCAAGGTGAAAATCGTCATGCACGTTATCATCGACCGAACCGTAGAGTGGGAATCTCGTTCAGCTGTCTATCAAAAGAAGCAACGTCATCATCCCAGGCGAAAAAAATGAAGCAGGATCACGCGGCGGGAACACTATCTCACCGTAGGAAACTGACGAGAAAAGCTTTCCGGGTAACAGCAGCAGCAGGGTACTGCGAGCCGTTCGACCGAAGCGCCAGGCGTCCCCGGACTGTCCAAGGGCAGGCCTGCTGCCTCCGGTTCGCATACTAATGGCTTCCCGCCGTCCACTTCCGCTTCTACTTTAAGCCCGGCCGCCGTAAAAAGAACGCGGTTTCCGCGACGAGTGCGGACCAGCTTCCGCCGCCCTCGTTTGGCAGGCCGCAGCGGCCATCAAAAAATGGTGGCCGTTAAATCCGGCTCTCGACGTGTCATGACACCACTGGCCGAAAGGAGCAACGTGGCAGGGGCACCCGGCGTTGGTGCTTTAGTCGGCCGCCGAGTTCTAAAGGCAAACCTCTGGCCGCGCCCTAGGGAAAAATCGGGAGTCGGAAGGAGATCTCTGCTAGGAATCATGAAACGGAAGTTGGCAACCGGAAGGCTCTTTCTCTCCCGCGTGCCATCATCTCGTCAGGACGTAACGGGATTCTTTCTTCCATGCGCCGTGCCCCAAAGAGGCTGCTGACAGCACCGGGGTTTTCTTCTTTCTTTCTTTCGTTTTCCTAAGTCTGAAGCTTACAGTCCCCTTTGTGTTCAACCTCGGGCATCAGGGTTAAGCGGATTTAGAAAAACGAGGGTATCGCATATGGCGCGTTTGTTTTGCAAACGGGACCATGGAATAAATATCCGCGGTCGGGGCGTTCCAATGTTGCTATCTAAATAAGGCTAAAAAAATAAAAGAAAAAAACTTGACGGTGTTGTATGGAACGGCGTTCAAAGGAAAGGCGTTCCATGGAACGGAAGAACGCTGCCGTTCCATCTGGCGTCGGTGGTACTGGAACAGGTGCTCGTTGCCTTTTCGAGAAAATAGCGAGGGGAACGGCCTTTCTTAATTTGAATGTTTTGTTAATTTTATGGTAAACATTTAGCTTATTTGAACATTCATCCTGAAGCCAACTAGAGTTCTTATTTTCCGGGCCATTCGTAGAAAGGAGCCTTTATCTTCTTCTTTTCATTGTAGACTATCCCTACTACGGCCGGGAGCAACGAGCCAGTTTGTAGGACAGGATCCATTTGCTTCCCGACGGCAGACTCGGACGGCGGTCGACTTTCAACGGACAGTAGCTGAATAACCCACGACCGCAACGCCACGCCACTATCTGTGGTGGGAGGTTTCAGGTGTCCCGTTGCTCCCCGGTACCCTTGCCCTAAACGTCTTGCAGGTGTAGGGCCGGACTCGCTAGGGACGGGAAGCAGTGGCGTAGCCAGGGGGGAGCTTATGGGGCTTCATGCCCCCCCCCCCTCCGCTCCCCAACTCATGGACACCCCAGCCACCTCAACCCCCCCCTTCCCCCCCCCCCCCCCCCCCCCGAAAAACGTTTCTGGCTGCGAAGCATCCCACCGTAGATCAAACCCCAATCATTGAGCTTCCCCTAATCAGTTCAGCCAATGGGACGGACGATGGTGAACATACTGCGCTGACAATCTATAACCATGATCAATTAATAAAAAAAGAAAACGCAGGGCGCAGCAAGTTTTCGGCTTCTTATCGTTGCTCCTTAGCCGACGTGATTGCAGCGTGAGCCGCTGAGACCGCCTATGAACCGATCAAAAAGTAAGAAGCCACGCTTTGTGTTCCTTAAATTGTGACTAAAGGTCACATGACAAAGGGTTGGATGTCTCTTTTAATAAGGCAAGGAGTTGCGATGAGTGGTGAGAAGAGTGCGTCGCTGGGTCGTACAGATGCAAGAACGTCTGAGAGTGTACGCAGGAGATGACGAAGCTGTTTCGTTCGCAACCACAAAAAAAAGGCGAAATAGACCCATCAGAGAAAAGAGCGCCACCTGTCGTACGCAACGGCAACTAGTGACAGCCGCCATGCTGCAGGATAGTGCGCGCCCATGCATACGTTGCGTAGGCCGTCGACGCTAGGCAATTCCTCCCCACGATGCCAACGTACTGCTGCGTACCCCTCTGTAAGCAGAGTGGGTATCTGGACAAGTCTGGCATTAAGGTACGTATTCGTAAATGTACTCGTTATCGGTTGAAGGGCGTCGGTCTGGTGGGGATGTTCAGCAGCGCAGCCGCGCAAACATTTCCCTGCTGAAGTACAAGAACGGAACACGAACCGTTCCCACGCTACGCTGCTTGGGTGTTTGAGTCCCGTGTTTTTAATCTCACTTTGTTGCGTTTGGACGTAGATTTTTCAAGTTTCAGCTAGTTTGAAGAAATCAAAGCGTCAAATACAGATATAATGTTGGTCGTGGTATCGCTTGTGGACGTGACAGCTTCGCGAGCGCCTAGCTTCAGGTATGCACGAGCTCGCGGTGCTTCCAACTTCCGCGTGTAAATTGTATGTTAGGTACGCATGAAGCCATACGACCTGACGCTTTAACCTGCCTGTAGCACACACATCTGTGCAGCGCGTGCTTTATGCAAAGCAACATGCACGCGCTTGCAACTTCTGCTTCACTGCAAAATTTGCTGCTCTACATTTCAACTCCACAATCTCCCTCAAGAAAAAGGGACTCGACGTATCTAGTAGAAACTTGCGTCGAATGTGTCTTTTACTGGTTGAATTCGCGCATTGAAATTTTAAGTCTTAATTCCAAGTACAAAACAAACAAAAAAATGCCCCCAAAAGGTCCGTTTTTTTTATTTGTTTTGAAGTAGAGGTTTTGATTTTCATTGAGTAAATGGGACAAGTATGTATTTGAGGCAAGTTTCAACTTGATACTCAGTTGCTGATTTCTGATGGGCCATTAATTGTAGCTTTGTAACTTTAATTTTTAGACACTCAAAAATAAGTGGCTCAATGTGTCAAGTTCAAACTTACCTCAAATACGTATTTTACTAGTCCCATTTACACAACTTACCTCAAATACATATTTTACTAGTCCCATTGACACATCAAAATTTCAAGTGTCTACTTCAATACAATGAAAATTTAAAATAAAAAAAAACAAACCTACCCATTTTAAAGCATAGGTTTTTTTTTGTACTTAAAATCTAGACTTAAAATTTTAATCCATAAATCCGACCAGTAAAAGATGTATTCGAGGTAAGCCTCTACTCGATACGTCGAGTCCCTGATTTTTGTAGGCGATTCTATGTCGAAACTTTATTTTGAAGTACCCTGTACAGCAACTTGAGGCTTTATTTGTTTTTGTAATATTTATTGTACACAATCTTTGTCATACATGAAACCCGTGATAGCTGTGTACTAACGATGGCTCGTGCGGGTCTACGTATTTGAACACGAAGAAGCAATCTGCAGAAATTTGTGAGGGCCGGGCCAGTGGTGGCGGATTTCTGGAAGTCGTCTAAATGTAGAAGTCCCATAATCCCGCTAAAATCACCCAGCTCAACCAGAGTGGTACTTGCTTTTTAATAACATTTAATTTTTATTTGCAGATTTCATTCCATAGATTCCCAAAGAACACTGAGAACTACAAAAGATGGATAGCCGCCATAAAACGAGATGAAGGGAGGCAATTTCAAGTTTCATCAGCTACGAAGGTATGCTCGAGGCATTTCCTCCCTGAAGACTTTCTCCCGAACGTGGCAAGTGGATTGAAGCTACTTCGCGACAATGCTGTACCATCTCTGTTCAGCTTCAAGAAGCCAAAACAGCGGCGCCGTGCTCCTCGGGCAAGAGCACCACCACCCGTTCCTTCGCAACCAAACACTCCTACGGAACACCTCCCCGTAGGAGGTAGCCAGAGTGACGATTCAGAGTCACCAGTCCTCCAAGACCTATCGCCGTCAACTTCAGCTCAGACAGAATGTGCATGCACATGCAACCTTGCAGCAAAAGTTGCCGGCCTTGAAGAAGAACTTGTGAAGCACAAAGAAGAGATAAGAAAACAACAAATAGAAATCAATGCGAGCAGAGCTCTACTGAAAGAGAGAAGCGATCAAGTCCACAAGCTTCGTTCGGACTTGGAACACGTCTCCATCAAGCACAGGAAGCTGCAGGAAGAAAGCCGTGGCTTTGGCATTCAAAAGTTCCAGTCAAGTAATGTCGATGTCCAATTCTACACGGGACTCCCATCATACGCCCACTTCCAAGAGCTTTTGAAATTTGTTGAACCTGGGAATAAAGGGGAAAACATCATCTACTGGAAGAGTACTGCGACATCAGAAGACGAAAGGAGGGGACGACCTCAGAAACTTTCAATTGAAGATCAGCTGTTTCTTGTCCTTGTAAAGCTGAGGGTAGGACTTTTCCATAAGCACCTGGGTCATCTGTTCAATGTTTCAGAGACCACAGTATCCAGAGTGTTCCTTACTTGGATGAGTTTTCTCTACCTGCGTCTGACTGAACTGCCACTGTGGCTCCCAAGGGACGTCGTGGACACCCTCATGCCAGCCACGTTCAAAGACAAATATCGCTCTACGCGAGTGATCATTGATGCTACTGAGCTGCGGTGCGAGGTATCTAGCTCACTAGTTACGCAGTCTGGAACATACTCTTACTACAAGTCGGCAAATACCTTTAAGGGCCTCGTGGGAATATCGCCAAATGGACAACTGACATTTGTCTCGGAACTATTTATGGGCTCAGTATCGGACCGTGAAGCGGTCGTCAAGAGTGGATTCTTGGAAAGGCCATTTGAGTTCGGAGATGCTGTGATGGCCGACAAAGGCTTTAAGATTCAAGATCTCCTAGAAAAGAAGGGAGTTCTCTTGAACATTCCTCCCTTCCTAACAAAGGGTCAGTTTCCAACTGCAGACGTCCAGGAAACGAAGGACATTGCGTCTCTTCGAATCCATGTGGAACGAAGGATCCAAAGGATTAAGACATTCCACATTCTGGACCGCCCGATAGCCATCTCCCTGGCCCCTATTGCCAATCAGATATGGACGGTCTGCGCCATTCTATCAAACATGCAGTCGCCTCTGATGAGGTACTCCGAGTAACCACGGAGCAAGTAGGACGAAACATCAGAACGGCTGGACAAGAGAACTGTCAGGAGACAGCCAGTCGATACCCTGCCAGAGCTTCAAGAAAGCTCAAGCTGCCACACTACTGGAACTGATAGATGAACTGTTGAAACATCATTTGTATTTCATTTTTACCTTCTTTCTTTTTCACACCACGCCTAAGTTGTTTGCTTCAGTCATTAAGGTAGGGGGGAATGGTGTGTTTCGATATTTTAGCAAGCCTTTCGGTAAGACAAAGAAGGGCAAGCTAATCCATGGGGATCCATTTCGGCAACATGAATAAAGACGGTTATCAGTTTATAAACCGGCCTCTTCTTTCTAGTTCAAACCACCAGACACAACGCTGCCTACCTGTTTCAAGGTGCTATGCTTCCTTGTTTGCAGCTACTAACCCTTGTTCAACTGCAGTTGGAATGTTTTGAATGTTTATTTCTCGATTCAATCGGGCCTGTGTGAAATTTAACCTTTCTAAGTCACTGCGTGTCATTCTCCCAAATTTTGTCTGTTTTTGTTACTTTGCTGCTGGGGTAAATGAATTCCAGGCTGGAGGCAAGGTACTCGTAGCCCTTAGCTTGTCCACATTTCTACATGCAACAAAATCAGCAAACTAAGAAATGGAAACTCAAGAAGGTAGGGCAAGGGTAAGACGGGCTGGGGAGGAGGAAGCAGACGGACCCTGGAGAAGAGGGAAAACCCCCTTCTCGCTTTAGCGTCACATCAGCTTCCCCCTCCCCGGCCCGTCTTACCCTCGCCCTACCTTCTTGAGTTGCAACAGACTATAGCACTCGCAACAAGCAGATTGCAACTTGTGAGCCATTTAGCCCCCACTGTAAACACCTTGACTTATTTTCTGCCATCACACAGAGATAAAATTAAAAGGCTATGGCATTTCAAATCAAAATCCTCTCACAAAAGCTTGCACTGCATCAAGACATTGCTCTTGAGCCCTCCCAAACATTTTCTTACATGGTAACCTAGATGTATATGTAAATTATGACATTTCACTATTCTCGTGTTCAATGTGCCCAAAACACCTCTCCGACTTGGTAGTGTGCATTCTACAAAGGTGAGAAAAAAAATCTTAAAAGTGCAATAACATTTTTAAATGTGTCGTTTCCTCAGAAGGATTTATGGTAGTGGAGGTATGAAAACTAAAGGAACTTACTGTGAAATGGAGTTTCAGTATGATAATGCTTGTCTGTCTCTAGAGAAAATTTATGACTAGGCTAGGAAGCTCCAAAACTGCACAAATGCTTGCGAAGCCTGTAACTGCTGCAAAAAATAGGGCGTCGCCACTTGATATGTGTTCCCCAGTAAAGGAGTCTTGGAACTTGTGCCGTGTTTGAACTCCCAACTCCAGTACAGACAAGCGTCGCCACACTGCAATTCCATTCAACGACGGACCTCCAAAGTTTTCAGTACCTAAAAAATGATGACACAACACTACTACTCTTTGGTGCCTCACTTAAATGGTGTGGATATCTTTATGACCATACTCGGACATCATGCTGATTTACTGTGCTGCCACCAATTGGACACTCTCGTAATGATTGGTAATAATACTGCCAACTTACGGAACAATAACACCGTATCTCCAAATATCATTGCAATTTTTAACTTGACTTGCCCTTGTACAAGGTCTCAAAAAAAAAAAAAAAATCTACCAATGATGACAATGTCAAATTAAAACTAAAGTGGACCAACGGGTATGTCATTAAGACTCGGACAAGCTTTTTTCAAATATACAGGGGTAGAGAAAAGACCTAGTTATACAGACCAACATAATAATTGAGAAAGTAAAAATAAATACAATGTTGCAGAAAAGCGAAGCTGTGCCTAGGACAGTTCGTATTGGCCTTTTACATAAAGGGGTACCACAAGCAGATAAGGCTGTTAGCATAAGCTATACGCAAGATTACTCTGCATTTCAAAATACAAAATGAAGTCACTGCACAAAAAGTTCTACATGACTGTGTAGAGCTTGATTTGATAAAACAGGGCAACTAATGAGCTTTGCCATAATTACAAAAAGAGCTGAACTTTCCCGTAAATTGAACAATAACGCCTAACACTTGATAATGTCACCAAAAGAAGTCGAGATTTCCTCCCCCCACTAACCACTTTGGGAAAGCAGCGCTTCATACAATTCTGAAAGTCAAATAAATTTTATATTCGCGATTCTTACAAAAGAAATAAAGTAACTACAGGAGAAAGAGAAAAAAAAACAAAAAAACTGCGAGTTGGTGAACAATATTCATAGTAACCCTAGACAGGAGAAATCAAAAATTGAACAGAAGCAAAATAGGAAATGACAACAAAAGAACACAAAATGTCCTCGCTAATGTAACAATTCAAGGTGTGGGAGCAGTTGATCAAAATAAAAATCTTGGAGCTCCATGCTCACTGCACTCCAGTCGTCAGGGCAGAAGCGAATTCTTTCTACAAGAATGAACTGGTCACCAAAGACGACAAAGTCGCCCCATTGCAGCCCTGCAATAGCCATCTGCCCAAGCACTTGGTGGTAGTAGTCATGGGTACGCCTGAGTTCAGGGCAATCCCCCTTGATCTCGGAACAGAACTTCAAAGTTTTGAGTTCTTCTACAGACTTGTCATAAAGGGTCTTCGGACACTTTACTTCCAGGACTCCATGGGGAGGGACCTCAGTTGGGTCGAATACAATTCTATCCGGTGACGCACCCAACCAGGGTGTCGAAGGATCGACAAAAATGCCGCACGATCCAACAGTCGCACTGTGCCCCAAGCTCTGCAGCACATCCATGTACCGCTGGACAGCGATGGGTTCTTGCGTGATGCCATGCCTGTGACAAGAAGGGCAACAACTCTAAAATCCCTACAAAATACATGATTAGTTGGTCTTTTTGATAACACAATCAATCGAGCACTCGAGAAAGGCCCTAGAAGGCTACCGCTGTAATAAGTTCATGAGATGTAGGCCAAATATTTTTCAGTTCTGTAGGCCAAATATTTTTCAGTGTGCAACCATCAAAGGAGAAAAGGAGTCGCTGATCCTACATTTTTACCAGAATTCTTTGAGGTTGGTGACTCTATCGCAACCTGTTCTCCGGCGGTTGTGTACTGAAAATGTGTGGCTTACACAAAGTGCACGGTCTGGAAACCTAGTATGACTGGTAAAAATATTTGGTAGAGGCGCTAGCACCTGTGCACAAAACTAGCACTCGCACAGCCTTTTTGTGCAAAGTCTGCTGAGTTCTGCATAAAAAGATAGAGCAATAAACCCAACTAGTCTGGTTGAAGCGATTTTGGGACCATGATTATTGTAGTATTTTCAACTACTATTGTAGTTGAGGCTCCATACTGGCTTTGGGGGAGACAGAGTAACAACTTCTTCCACTAGATGGCCATAAAGTGATTTCCGGTGCATGTTACTCCAAAGTAAAGAGCTGCGCTTGGCACGAGTAGGGCCGTGCCAAAAGAGTCGAGGAAGGTTTGAAGGTCAGTTTTCACGTGCTCGGTTCGTCCAAGAATCTGGATATGTGCCGTGAGAAGGGAAAAGCAGACGCCGTCGGACAACAATTGCTTGGGCGGGAAGCACTTTGGGTTGAATTCACGGATACTTGTGGTCATCAGATTTGTTTTGTTCCAACATGAACGCCAGAAAACCGTCAAGTTGTGCGGACCACCTGCAGACTATGTTCAGTCCGTCTTCAAGTTCAAACGGCTGCCTGATCGTTCGAACCGTCGTCTGCTCTTTCAAACGTTTCTGCTTGTTGTCCGCTCTCTTAGACGACACCGGCCCGTAGACCAAATGTTGGCCCGGTATTTGCGATAATAAGTAAGTGCAGGCCTCAAAGGACTTGCGTTTGAAGGTTGGTAAGCAAGCTCGATGTAAACAGTAGATACAAGGAGATGTTAATCATTGTTACCAGTGACCATCACCGACTTGTTATGCCTAATTCACTTGGTCCGATTCTGCTTGCAATTTTCAGTATCGGCGTCGACCATCTCGGCTACAGTTCACGCTGTTGCAGCCCAAGTGGCGTCGCGACTGAAAATTGCAAGCGAAATCGCATCATGCAAATCAGGCTTTAGCGTACATACTGCGGCGTCCACGCGGAATGAAGCGCCACATGTCACGTTATTCACGCGAAGTTTTGTGGTGTAACGAGCCTCAGTAATTTCGCTGACGCCACTTGAGTAGTCAGACATCGCCAAGAAGATTTAGAATCAACAATTCAAACGCGAAAAAGGGCAGGGGGACTCACACCGATGCCGACAAGATCGCATTTCAATGGTTTGTTTATGGGCAACGGGGAGCTTCTTGCCCACACCCCCATCGCGCATGTGTGGCGCCGGTGGCGTCCGCTAGGGACGCTCCGGTTTGCTTGTAAACATGAGTTGGTGTATAAGGAAGCCCCGCCATACCTAACTGAGGGGATTCATAAATGTTCTTGGGTGACAGTCACACTCATTTGTCATTTAGAAGGTACATGCATACCTTCGGAAGTAGCTTGTTTGAGGGCGTACATTACGTAAGTCGCCCTCCTTTACCTAGCCGAAAACTCTTCCAGGGCGTCACCAAGCGCTCCCCGAGGAAGCTTTGGAGAAGCACCAGCTTGGATGGCTACCATCATAAGCGCATGCAATTTGGCAAAAACCGAAATAGCATAAGGTAAAGCAACAATGCCTTCGTGCAACGTGTAGTAGCTGCTCCGAGAACTCCGACTCGAGTTACTACGTTCGGAGCCAAGGGAGCTGCTACTGAACGTGCCCAATAGGTATTATGTTTCATTTTATCTCAGTAATTTTAAGTAACACCTGCGTAAAGAGGGCATACCGTATCGCAGGAACCTTCGAGAGGTCTCTTGTGCTGGTTAGGTTGTGCAGCCCTTTCTGCGACCAGACCTCACGTGTGGCTGCCACTCCAAAGTTCGACGCCGTTAGTCGAAGCGCACGTTCTTTGTGCCATCTTGGACTTTTTGCTTGTTGTCTTGTATCTCGTTCAAGGGCCCTTGCTTGAGTCGGTGACAGGCATAGCCCCTGCAGTAGGAATTTTTCAAGAACATAGTGAAACACAGTTTGGGGGATTACATGGCTAGCCAACAAAGAGCATTTGGCACACTCCGATGAGAAATTAGGTATTAATGAGGCCCAAAGAAAGAACTGTGTTTGCAAAGCGGAACCCAACGTTAGGCCGTAAATTCAGACACCAAAAAACCTCTCCCGGTCAACTTCACCTCAACTTACACAAGACTTAGGTTTGAAAAATGCAGGTGTTGACACTAGAATGGCAAAATTGCTTGTGAACGCGCATTAACTGTACATGCTCTCCAGTGTTGCTAAAGGCAGTGAGCGCATGCTCGAGAGAAATACGTCATTGGATTCTTGACTTATCAGTGATTAAAGAACAACTCTGCTTAATTTTTTGTTTGTGAAAAAAAAAAAAAACAATGCAGTCCTCTTCAGTATTACCTAGAAAGGCCAGAGGTCAAATATTGCAATGTAGTTCTGTCTAAATGCTTCTTAAACGGTCCAGAAAAATTCGCAACTCGCCAAGTTGCCAAAATCGGCTGACTGGAGCGAGCGAATTGAGGCGCAACCAACAGCACAGTTAAGGTTACGGCATGGATATAGCCAACATTGAGCTAAATGTCATCACCATTGTCCCCTTTGCTTGTTTTTATTTCTCCGGGCACGCGTAACGGGTGACGTAAACAACAATTCCTCTCGGCACGCCTGCACAGTGGGCTTCTTGGGAACCGTTCAGCCGCCCCGCCGTGGTCCCGCCGTTACCCGCATCAAAACCGCTGTCGTAATCTCACCGTTTCTCATTACTGTGTCTCAGAGTTTCGTCCGCACATTGAACACTATGTGTGCAGACTTATGCCGCAGTTGTGCAGACGTCGTCGAATGTCGTAGACACCAAAACATGGCGAAGAGTGCGGTGCAGACGACACTTGTGCCTGGCATACGCCTGCCCCAATCCTGCCCATCGTTCCGTCAAGGATCATGTGACATCTTGTACCACATGATAGCCATGTTTTTGGTGGCCCGAGGCCAATGTTGCCAGACGGAGCTGAGGTTTCGGTTTCGAATTCTGCTTGTGTTCAAAATTGGATTAAAAAAGACACCCATAGTTTGTCGGCAGCGTACTGGCGTGGATGGCCACATTTCGCTACTGCCAAGGTAGCGCTCTTATAAAGCGGCTGCGCCGCGCTGAGCTCAGCCGTGCAGCCTGTTTGCCTAAATGGGCTGTGCGGCCAGGCCCGCACCTCTTACCGGCGGCTGGGTCGCTGCGTGCGCTGCGCTGCCATAGAGAGGGCTTCTCTGGTGCAGTTTTTGGAACTATGCCATGCGAGAGCCAATAGGAAGCTTGTTCCTTTACACTATGACACGCGCCAGCCAAAGGGAGCCTATCAATCAGATCGCGGCCTCAAACGACAGGCTTCGCTTCATTGGGACAAGGGAGCTTAGGTGCTGTTTGGCGCAGCTTTAAAGCTGATGACGTCGGTTTGCTCCATAAGACAGTTAATGCTTTTGCATTAATATATACACAGTTTTTTGTGAAGCAAATAACGTAGTGTCGTTTACTAGAGCTTTTTAATGCAAAATCACTGATTATCCTGAAATCTTCGGAATTGGCGGAGTTGCAGTTAAGTGTATAGAAATCATGCTTAATAATTAAGGCATTTGCTTATGTTAGAACTTTCCAGAGTTGTGTCGGCATTGTTTTTTTAGCTTTCTTTGTGGGTGTCGGCGTTTTGGAGGGAGCCTTTGCGATGCCAGAGCGGCCGGCCGCAATGCGAGAGCGGTTCCCCCACGGTCGTTAGGAAACGTCTCGGGTTTCGGGAGTCTGCTCGGACAGATCCCTGGGACGGCCCGTTCTTAGAGTTGCTTGTGGCTTTTAGCCGAATGTTCCTGTATATAGAGGGTTTGCCGCGTAGTGTAAAATTGTCACTTTTTACCCAAGGCAATAATTTAGCGGTTGGCGCCAGTCAGACTGGGAAAATTGCAGAGAACAACTCTACGAGGAATTTGGGTTTGACGGTTGGAGCGCCAGGATGACTGCTCGCCGACCATTGGAGAACAGTGTACCACGTGTGAGTGGTAGAATTTGAAGAGATTGGTTGATTCCTAAGGGGAAAGGAGGCCCCTACAGGCCTACAAAAGGAATGCGAAGAGGATTTTGGGGGATTCGGACTTTGGATTTGACGGAGAGAAATTGGGGACGGGGGTCGAGACTTTAGACGAGGCAGGATGGTTTCCCAAGTTGGGAGTAGTAACTAGAAGTATAAATAACTGCACACAGCTGTCTACAAGCAGTGAGTCGACCCGTCAATCAGCGACGTTCGTGCCACCACGCTCCAGACCATCGGAGCGGAACCTGCCTCCCACACCACCGGGAGGAACAACGAACAACTTTAACTGTTGCCCTTTAAAGGAGAATTAAGAAGGAGACCTCCTGGGGTGGACTTATGGTGGCAACAATATAAAGACCTCGCTTATGAAGAAGCTAACTGTAAGCTGTCAATTTTTCTTTTTCCGTTTTTTTTTTTTTTTGTAACGAAAAAAAGTAAACACCCCAAGTACCAATCACATCTAACACTGAAAATTATTCGAAGCCTTCCAATGGGCTGTGACAAAGCGGCGTAAAGCATGGGTTGCTAATTGTGCTTGAGGTATTCAGTTCATACAAAATCAGATGCACACTATTTTTGTATATTGACCTTCCGTAAAGTATCCTAAAAGCAATGGTGACATTACCTCAAGGATCTTGTGGCCCTCAAAACACGAAGGCACATCCCAGGGCTCGGCATCCCTGAAGAACTCGTACTCGTGCAGTGGAGGCGGATCGGTGGGAGCACTCTTGAAGCGAATGTTTGTCACCACCTTGAACCCGAAAGGCAATTGTGCTTGTTGGTACACCTGTGGCGCAAGGACAGACGAAGTGCCGAACTTTGTTTTCACGAAAACCTGCCCGGTCCCTCCCAGCAAGCTCCTGCCAAACTCGGTGGTTCCCTCCAGGTTCATCATGGCTTGAGCGAAGTTCTTGGTGGCGGCATCTTGCTCGCTTCGACTGCGGGGAACAGCTCGGCTTTCGTAGAGGCGACTTGTTGCTGGCGTTTCTGAGCCACCTTCCCGGACACTTCTCCAGTCAACAGACTGTATGGAAGTTCCCCTGATGCGCTCGCCTCTTGGGACCCTCCACTGCTGTGGAAGGTCAGTGCAGGAGAGCTGTAGTGGCGCTTCAGAAAAGCCCTTCCTCTGCAGCAGTTCAAGTGTCCGAAGAACCCCCATCAAGTGGTTGCAAGCAACCTTTCCTGCCGGGCAGTCACAGTGCCCATCTTCAACATTGCCAGTAACGCTGAGGGCAGCCACCACGGTGTACGGACGGTCATTCTTTTTTTTGCTTCGGAAGCATAAAGCTTTCAGGAAGCATATCCCTGCGCTAAAGAAAATAAAGAATGTTTTAATGTTATTTTTTTATCAATGGCTAATGCACAGTGAAGTAACAAGCAGAGCACATTACACATTTCTTTTTTTGTTTTGCAAATAACTTTGGAAATTAAACAATTACATCACTTCTGCATCACACATTTTTCAAATATTTTGCTTTGCATCCAACCCTGTGGCAAAGCACACAACTTCAAATGCGTTTATGTCACATCGCCGCCAAGCATTTCGTCGCTATGTGTGAATGAGTACAAAGCGTGCCACAGAAATAACAAGCGACCGCTAGTTTGTCCCTTTACTTTCCACAGCTGCAAAGGTAAAAGTATTGAAAGCTACTAGTGGGTTTAAAATGAGCTTATCTGAAGCACCGATCAAGGCGATAAATTTCGGCATTCAACCCTACCATGCGCAAGTAAAGATTGCGTTTCATGTTCGCGTGAGCACTCTATGTTAAAGGCTGAATCGCATCTGAGCGATTTGGCGAGCGGCGAGTCGAGCGACGGCACAAGCGACGAAAGTCGGCTACGAGCGACGAAAGTCGGCTACGAGCGACGAAAATTTTTCACTGTCGCTTGTCGCGTCGCTTGGTTTGGGATTTCTAGAAAACGAAGGTGATCGCCTTGGTCGCTCGTTCGTCGCTTTTATGCGGTGTGCTTCCCGAGCGACGGCGAAGCGAGTCCCCTGCATCTGTTTCGTCGCACATCCGGAGAGTACCGGCGGCCTCTAACTACAGCCCGTAAATTATAACCGGTTCCTATAATTTTCTGATGGATACTAACACATGTCTGATGTCGTAACTACAAAGATCTTAGTAATTACCTTTTTCTTGCGTAGTTGGCCTTTATGGATGCGGCGACCACGAAGCCCTCAACGAGGAAGTTGTAGCTTCTGTCAAATTGTCGTTCCGAGTCCGATCGGCTCTTGAAGAAGCGATATACCTCCTCATCTTCAACGGCTGGGAGTTGGGAAAGGTCGTTTTCCCAACCCGTGATGGGGAAAACGCTACCTGCAGCCATACAGAGGCGAAGGGATCGACGAAACAGGAACGCTACAGTCAAAACAACTATTCCGGCCGCAACGGAGTCCTTCCCAATGGCGCCGGCCGCCCAATGTTGTTGGACTCGTTCAGCGGATTTTCGCTGTTGCCAGACTTTTTGAAAGGGGTCTATAGCGCAGAAAGAAGATTCATTTTCTAACCGCCAGGTCTTTGCAAACCGACCTTTAAAGGAAGCAGCAGTTAAGCGTCATACAAAGGGCACGCCATAGTGCGTGCCCAACAACTGAACCATTTTAGAGCTCCCAAGAGGACCAAGCCCCTTTCAGATTTCCTTCTGGACACTCGAAAACAAACGAGCAAGCAACAGACCCCTTTGAGAACAGGCCACCACTGCCCTAGAATTACGGTGGTCAGCGAGGGAGCCCATCTGCCTACCGGGACGCAACCGCCGCACTTGATCGTCTGCTCCGCATTCCATAAACAAACAAGAAAACCAAGCCCCGTGACCGGCATACCCCGAGCCGGTCCCGGTTGGCCCAGAGCACCGCCCCCTTCCGACCAGCAGACGACCCGCCGACGAGGAGCTGGCCGACGAGCACTTGAGGACGCTTTCCCCCCGTTTACGACCGCGTGCGGTGCATCCTTGCGTAACGGTCGCACGGAGGACGCTGCTCACGCTGCTGCTCGGGGAATCTCTGCCCTGCCGGACGCAGCGACGCTGCCGTGATTGTCGCGGAGCGGAAGCCTTTGGAGAAGATACCTTCCTTTGACGATAATGTTGAGGGAAGAGTTGGCGGGGGGGGTATAAGGGGGTTTTCCTGGTGGTGTGAAGCGCAACGGCAGCACTGAACGGCGAGCCGTGGCGCTTGGAGCGCCACAGTTTGCCGTCCATTTCGCTCGGAGATTTGCATCGGTTGCGTTCGCAGCAACCAAAACGACACTGCCTCGTATAAAATTAAAGTATAAAATTGGATCGCGGGGAGGTAACTCAATATATAGGCAAGTCTCTATTTATCGAAGTTCCTAACTCCCCGATCTTATCCCGACGACATTTGATACACGTAGCTTATGAACAGATATAAGCTACAAGCCAAAGTATGCAGGCCAGCTGGTTGGGTAATTTCATGCCAATTTAAAGATTTTGTGTTTGTTGTTTTCTTTCCCCTAGCCTTAAGGTTTAGATTACGATAATTAGCCAGATTGAGAAGCGACTCTTCAATTATATAATTCTGTTGTAAGTTCCTATGGCCAATTTCGAAGAGAGTGGTGCAAGGTCCATCCCTACCTTCGCTTTTCGCAAAGATTATAAAAAATGAGAAGGTAACGAAGAGACCAACGCAATCCTTTCTGACAAAGCCTGGGAACATCATAGTGCTCGGTAATCCGTCCAACTTCGCAGACCTTTCGAATGAACTCTGGTCCTCCAAGAGGAGAAAAGGAATTACCATAATTGTATCAAATTTTCGAGAGTATTACCGACCTCATTCAGCCTCCCCTCCGCTGGGTGGAGAAATTCTGCCTTAGAATTCCACTTGAAGATCAAAGGGTTGCCGCGCTACATGTGCGGCCACTGGACTCGGTTGATGAATTGAGCGCGCAGCTCCCCTCATTGGCTGCAAGACGACGGCTTCGCTTCAGTCTCTCTCGTAGCATCCCATATATGGCGACGTTTCCTCGCGTATTTAGAAACAAAGAGAACCGCTAGTGCTTCCTCCGAATCATCGCTGACTGCTCGACTGACAAAATGTGGAACGTGTGCGTCGTGGACATATTAATGAAAATCCAAGAAGGCCCCCAAAACAAAGACAAAGGAAACGTACACACACGAAGCACCAAGTCAGGGGTTTCCCCAGAAATTGAAATTAGGAGGGGGTCTAAATGTTTATGGGGGGGGGGGGGGGGGGGGGGGGGGGCATTGAGAATAGAGGAGTCGTTGCGAATTAAGGGGTGCCTTAAAAAAAAAAAATGGGGGGAGGGGGTATAGATCCCTGTTGGGGGAGTGTAGCGAAATCGCTGCACCAAGTAGTTTCGTGTGTTTATTCTCTTATTGTACCTTTTTATAACATTTGAACTTGCTTCATGTTTCACGCATGCCGACTGGTCAATTTATAGACCCTCTTTTCGGAAGAGTGAAGCATCTTCGCATGATCTGTTCCTGAGACAGCGACATCGCCTTCGCGTACCGTTAGAAATATGAAATGGTGTATTGGGGACTAGATAACGGGTATGCCATAGACGCTTTACAGACGCGCCGAATTACATCCGCCATTGTTAACTTTCTCTTATTTTACCGAGATACCGAGCCATCAGAGACGGGCGTTGACGAGTCTGCAGAAAGTCCAATGATTGGGGTAAAGACACGGTAGAATCTAAAATGGTAATGACCTGACCTGCTACGTTAATGACGAAGTGAAGCGAACGGAATAAGAGGAAACAACAATTGAAGGTCGGTTATGGCGGCGCCCATGCACAGCTGCTGCAAAGCGTCTATAATTAGTTTGAGCTTAACTCCAGGCGCAGCCAAACATTTGAAGGTAATGGCACCGATCAAGATTCGTCTTTCAGCTTCCGAAGTGGAAGGGCGCATCGTCATGAGCTCCGTAAGAGCGGTTTCAACGGCTACTGATAGCCGTGGTATCACTGCTGAACGAAGGGACGAGGCTGCTTATCGTATCATCCTGCCTACGCTGCCGGCAGGCGTATATGCCCTGAACTCCGTTTTTCTTCATGCCGACGTCGGCGCACGGCCCTACCGTATCGAGGACTTCAAGGACGGACTGGAACATGCCGGAGTCCTAGGAGACATCGCAGCATGTGGTTCGTACCAAATGAACCACGTGTGGATGGTCACCCTCAAGTCACCCACGGCCAAACAAAGGTTGGTGGATGCTCAGGCTTTCGAGGTCAAGGGCAGGCGGTGCCTTGTTATCGATCCGGACAAGGTGGAAGTGCGGCTGAAGTTGCACTGGATACCCTTTTATATACCCGATGACAACGTGAAGAAAGCCCTGGAGCAGTATGGCAAGGTCGAAGAGATAGCAAGAGAGACCTGGCGTGTCAACGGGTTTGAAGGGGTGCAGTCGACCACGAGAGCGGTGAGGTTAACGCTAAAAGACGGCGTCACCACCGAACAGCTACCGCATCAACTCCGACTGTCTGGATGCACTGCGCTAGTCATCGCCCCAGGAAGGGCACCGCTTTGTTTGCGGTGCCGAAGGACCGGCCATATTCGTAAGGAGTGTCGTGTTCCCCGGTGCGAAGGCTGCCGACGCTACGGGCACACCAGACAGGAGTGCATGAAGACATACGCTGACGTGGTCAATGCCGCGATGGAGGACGAAAAGGCCGACCTTCTGATGGACCAGGCGGAGGCCGAAGAGGCTGCGGGTGGGACCCCCTGGAATCTCGAATCCCAGGGACGGGCCAACATCACCGCAGACGCCCCTACCCCCCTCCCTGCGACGCCGTCCGCGGCAGAGCCGCCAACGACCGAGGTTGACACTGCTGGCACATCAGGCGATGAGTCAGCTGGTCGGCTGCCGTCTCAGGAACCTGAGCGAGGGGACCAAGACACCCGCCC